TAGTCATTAACTGAGGACTACTTGTATGTATGTGTATATGTATATGTATATGTATGTGTATACGTATATGTGTATGTGTATATGCATGTGTATGTGTGTATATGTATGTATGTGTATGTATATATGTGCGTGTGTGTGTGTGTGTATAAAAAAAACCATAAATTTTATACAAGGCCCTAGTTTGGCCAAATCTGGATTTTAGGCTGAAGTGATAAAGAGGAGCTTGCCAATTTTGATAATTTTGCAGGCAGTTCTATAGCATTAGGGCAGATGATAGATAAATGGAGAACCATCTGATGGAAGCTATGAAGGAAACAGAACTTCCTTGTTTTCGTATTTTCCCCATCTACAAGGAGAGAAACAGGACTCATTCATAAATTTAACTTCAGGTTCTTAGCCAGGCATCTTAGTAGGGAAGAATTCCACATTTGGGATACATGGCTCTCATGTTTGTATTGTATGCAGAATAGGATTCAGAGAAGGACTCTGATCCAGCTGTCGCTAATCCCAACTGCAAAGGTAGTTAGGCAGTCTCTTGGAATAGCCAATAGGCCAGGAAGGGAGCATGAAATAAAAGCTGCATATGATTTCAGAATGGTCAGTCTCCTCAAGCAGTCTACGTGGGGTGTCATGGATTACAGGCAGGTAGAAGACATGTCTGGTTCATGGGCAAAACCCACTAAGAAATTCTTCAGAGATATCCTTTGATTTCTCTGGGGCTTGCATACAAGAAACAAATTAGATTGTATGCCTCCCCTCAAGTAACAAGGGAGTTATCAAATGGATTTTCCTTTTAAGTGCCAAACATCTTGATCATCCAGAACAATTTGGTTTTCTGAGAACCCAGAACTTGATAAGAGGAGAACTTGTAGGCCTGGTCTAGAAAATATTCAGAACATGGAGTCAAATCCTGCTATATAGTGCAAGGAGCTGAACGCAAGCCAAGAGACTTGAAGGAAGGAAGATATTTTGGAATGAGGGAAAGGAAGGAAGCAGGGCCAGGGAGGAGGGGCTGCCCTTCCTCAGAAGCTGTCATCAGTCTTAATGGGGAAGCTGAATAAAAAGGAGAGTTATTGTTTTACTCTCTATTCTAAATCCTGTATGCTTAGATTCACAGAATCATAGTTGTTTCTACCCATCCAGTTTGGTCCAGCAAGCTGGGCATGTTTTGGGTCCTGTCAACCAAGAAATGTCAGCTGGCAGGGACTGGAGACATGCCTTCTCTGCCATAGCTCCTGCCCTCTGGAACATTCTCCCTCCAAAGATTAGGATGACCCCAACCCTGTTGGCCTTTTGTAGGCCGTGAAGACCTGTTACGTGCCCAGGCCTGGGGCCCCAAGTGTATAAAGGGCCCCATTTCTTGGCCATATTAACATCTATGGCAATAATTTTACTCATTGACCATATATATTTATTTGTATTGTTTTAATTGTTTTTAATTGTTTTATGGTTTTATGACTGTATATGCCACCCAGAGTCACTTGTTGAGATGGGTGGCTATAGAAATCAAATAAATAAAATAAAATATTAAATAAATAAATAAATAAAGTTGGAAGGTATCTTAGAGATCATAAAGTCCAATCCCCTGCTCAGTGCAGGATCCACTACAACGCTGACAGATAACCATCCAGCCTCTGTTTGAAGACCTCTAGTGAAGAGGAGCTCTCCACTTCAGGTGGCAAC